AGCTGGAGTTGACAGGCATCTTCCTATATGCCCAGAATTAACTTCACCGCACCCTGACAAAGGTACCAGCTTACCTTGGGCAACCCGTCCTCCTCAGAAGTCCCAGTCCCAGCTCTGCCGGGGTCCCTACCTCCAGCTTCTAAGTTCTGACAACACCCACCTCTTCTCTTTATATTCCTAGCCTTAGGAGATGGTTGCTTCTTGCAGTTCCTATCTCTGTGTTTAACCCATTCCTTCTATCAAATTCTCTCTGTTGAAATACCTGGGATGGTTTCTGCTTTTCTGTTTGGATCCTGATCGAAACAAATGTTTGATGATATGAACCATTAATATTATCCGAAAAATTCCACTTCACACACGTACGTGCATGCACACACACATGTACACATGCGCGTGTGCGCACACACACACACACTTTCCTGCTTATCATACATCTCTCTGATTAGAATTGGCTTCTCATGCAAATTTTCTACAGAGAGAATTTCTCTCCGGCAAGCATGTAGAACACGTATAGTTCACTTGAAAGCCATATTTTTCATTATAAGTGAATACATTTGAATGCTGGTTTTTATACATCAGTCTCTGGTGACCTTATTTTGGTTATGGACACAGATCTATTTCGGGGACACTGGCAATGGGTATCCTGCACTTGCTGAATGAGGGTCAGGCCCAAAACTGTCGTTCCAGTAAAGTGAGGACACCCTGACCAGTCGACCACCCTCCTCTCTTATTCTTCCCCATACTGGTGTCAAGCATGAACCTGTTTCTGTTCAAATGGCAATAGCTAATATTAAGAGACAATGTCCCCCTTTTGAACACATTACATTCCTTTTTTTTAATTCTTCTCCAAATAAAACTTCTCTGAAAAGGATCTAAAAGTCTTCAACATTAAGATATAAGTGACCAGGGTGCCTGGGTGGCTCAGGTGGTTAAGCGACTGCCTTCGGCTCAGGTCATGATCCTGGAGTCCAGGGATCGAGTCCCACATCGGGCTCCCTGCTCAGCGGGGTGTCTGCTTCTCCCTCTGACCCTCGTCCCTCTCGTGCTCTCTATCTCTCATTCTCTCTTGCTCAAATAAATAAATAAAATCTTTAAAAAAGAAAAGATATGTGACCAATACAGTTAAACCACCTCCTCTAAGAGAGTATTTTAATTTTATTTGCATTTTAATAAACCTTTAATTGGTTTAAATCTGAGGAATCAAGTATTGATTTTAGAATCCCAGAATTCATTGAGCTGAGCACTGGAGTATTTTTCAGTGAGAAGGGGTAGAGGGGAGGTGGGTCACACTCCAACTGCTCCTGAAAATCATGCAAACAGATGCCTTCTTTAGCTACCCTTCAAGTTGGCACTGATATAAAGACACGTTCAATCCCACACAGTCCTTGACTGTCCCTGGCCAGACCATAGCTGATCTCCTTTTGGCCAAGGCCACAGTGGAGCACCCTGGGGGAAGCCACAGGGCACCTACACATTTCATAACAGCCTCCTTTGTAGAGCTAAACAAATATTTGCTTCTAGCCTGCAGAGCTGATTCACAGGCCTGAGTTTTCACACGTATTCATGTGTACCTCTGCTGCTCACAGGGGTGGCTATGCCAACCTCCTGGCTGGACCCCCACGGCCAGCTGAGCAAGCAAGATGTAGTGGCAGTCCCAGCTCATCTTAGCAGCTGGATGCCCCCACCTTGGTGCAGAATGGGGACTCTGGCTTTCACCAGGGGCATGTTCTAGATATTTCCAGTACTCAGTTCACAGGCAAGAAATGATGGCCCATCTCCAATTCACATCTTTGAAAACTGGATAAAATGGATACAAGGGCCATGGCCGGAACATGTGTGAAAGGATAACCCAAGTAAGATTTAATAATAAGCCAAAGTTTAAAATGAACCTAATGGGAAATTACTGGAGACAAATAAAAGGGACCCGTGCCTATGGGCTGGGGCCCCTAGTTGGGGCCAGACTTGTGACTTTGCATCCTTGAACTTGAGCAATTGGCTAAGTCTTTTCAGACTGCCTTCTCCTCATTGGCAAGATGATGGGGGCTGGGGTTTTTTCAAAGCTTCCCCACATATTCACCTATTTGTTTGCTGGGGCCACCATAACAAAGTACCACAACTCAAGGGGCTTACACAAAGAAATTCATTGTCTGCTAATTCTAGAGGCTGGAAGGCTGAGGTCAAGTTTGTTCCTTTCGGGCTGTGTGGGGGGAATCTGCTCCATGTCCTTCTCCCAGCTTCTGGTAGCTTGCTGGCCATCTTTGGTGTTCCCTGACTTATAAATGCACCGCCCCCATCCCTGCCTACATCTACACACCACATTCTCCCTGTGTGCGTGTCTGTCTCTGTGTCCAAATTTTTCCTCTATAAGAACACAGTCGTATCTGGTTAGGGCCCACCCCAATGACCTCATCTTAACTTGATCATCTACAAAGATTCTATCTCCAAATAAAGTCATCTTGCAGAAGTATGGAGATTAGGACTCCCACATCTTTTTGGGTGACATAATTCCACTCATAACTTTCTGACCTGATTTTTGCAGGCGAGCCTCCTGGCAGATGGCTCTGGAGCTGGCCTTCTCTCCACAGCCAGCCTGTCATTGGTCTTCTACTTCTCTTTTTTTTTTTAATTTTTTTTAAAGATTTTGTTTATTTATTAGACAGAATGACAGACAGAAAGCACGAGAGGGAAGAGGGTCAGAGGGAGAAGCAGACTCCCCACTGAGCAGGAAGCCCGATGTGGGACTCGATCCCTGGACTCCAGGATCATGACCTGAGCCGAAGGCAGTCGCTTAACCGACTGAGCCACCCAGGCACCCGGTCTTCTACTTTTCTGTAAGAAGGCAGGAGGACAGAGAGATACCTGTCTTAATGATGGCTTTCCAATTGTATAATGCCAAGTAAGTCCCTTTACCTCTCTGAGCCCCCGTTTCCTCGTCTAAAAGATGGCAATAATGGGTTTACTGAGAGAAGTCAGCAACCTAAAGCAAAGAAATACTTGTCTGACACATGGTAAGTGTTCACCAAATTACAGATATTTTTATTTACTCCTGTTGAGTCAAGGGGAGGATGGATCAGCAACTCCCTAACCCTGGCTGCATATTAGAATCAACTCAGGGAACTTTTTGAAAACTATTGACACCCAGGCCCCACTAGAGATTCTGACTCAATTGCTCTGGGATAGGGCCCAGGCACTGATATATTTAGAACCTTCCTGGTTTGTTTCAATAGGTAGCCAGGATTGAGAACCACTAGAATAGCTGAAAGGATTGAAAACACCAGTGGAAACCCTCGATGCGGTTGAAAGTCAGAAGAGGTTGATTTGTAGCTACTTAGGCAGATGGTCCAGGTTGTGAGAGGTGCCAGGGACAGCTCTTAGAAAACTTTGAATGAGATGACCTAGATATCTGAGCCATTTCTTGCTTTGTGGTCTCCCTGCAAAAGTGTTTCCAGGCCTCTCCCGTGAGGGAGCATCCCCACGGAGACAGTCCCGCGGGCCTTTTCTCGCTTTGTGGTCTCCCTGCAAAAGTGTTTCCAGGCCTCTCCTGTGAGGGAGCATCCCCACGGAGACACTCCCATGGGCCTTTTCTTTCACAGCGATATTCCATCCACTTGCTTGCCCACAAGACCCATCTCAGCTCCAGGTCTGGGAAAGAAATCCTCGATAAGAGTTAATGCCAGATTGATGCACTACCTTCCCTAGGGTTATCTGCCTAGGAGGGCTCATCACCGGTTTCCAAGAATTCAATGGTGAGGAAATTTTGGATGGATAGACTTACAGGATGGGGATGGCAGAGCCTCCGATCCACCACTGGGTGGGAACTGCTCGCTTTTGAATAGGCATGACTGTATATATATATATAGCCTATATATATATATATATATAGCCTATATATAGAGGCAGCTGTCCGGCAAAAGTGGTACCACTTGCATCAGTGACTGGGTCTCAGGTCCCTTTGCTGCCTCTTCCCCCTTTCCAGATGCTCTGTCACCTCATCATCAGGCCTGGCTTCTCCCAGGTTTGGCCTTCTTACAGTGCCATGCTTGTCCACTTAGCAGGAGACACTTGCCACTCATTGTCCCTTAAGTCCCAGGGTCTCTGCAATTCTCCTGGGGGAGGGGGGGCAGTGACTTTTTGTTCTGTGAGTGAATGAGTAATATTAAATGAAATGATATGTAAATAGAAGCAATTTTTCATGGCCTGGCTACATAAATGCCCTTAATTTATTATCATAAAGAAGTTAGGAATATCCATTTGCTCTTTGACCAAATTAAAAGAAGTGTAGCAAATAAAAGAAATGATGATAATTCTCTTCATTCTGATCTGATGAAACAGCGTGTTTGGTTTGGCCCTTTCCATTTCTTCCATTTTAATCAAGAATATGTCAGAAGGATGAGTAGCCAGAGACAGACAAGTGTCTTTTAATAGAAAGCAGGATGTTGTGCCTTCATCTGGCAATCACTGACTTGGCTTTTGGAAACGCAGGGGAAAGGGAAATCTAATCTAGAATGGGGACATGCTTTTGCTAGACCCAGGGACTCTGCACCGGAATCCAGCTCAGTGTTCTGGAGTCACACAATTGCCTTCTGCGGCTGACGTCTGGAAGGAGAAATGAGTTCCTTTAAGTGGACCAGCGTGGAGAAGCATTAGCTGTACAGCGAGAGTGCATGAGCTCTCCGGATTGCCCTGAACCAGTCCGCCCAGCCATTTCAGACAGAACTGATGCAGTGAAGCCCAAATTTCCTGGCAAGCCTGAGGGCAGGTTTTTCCAAAAGCATCTCAGACCGCGAAGGCACATGTCTAATCACGAAAGCAAACCTCTGGACACATGCTCTCTGTTTCCAGCTGGTTGTGTATGTTTCCCTCACACTTTAACACAAACGTGCCAAGGTGTGACATTTATGAACCCCACCAAATGGGAGCTGCGCGCACCAACCCGGTTGCCTGGTGGGTGGGGGGGAGTGATGACTGGGGGCTGTCCTGCCTGGGGAGGAGGACTGCTTCCCTCTGGCATGCCTGCAGCCTTATTTATTACACACCAAAGTATAAAAGCGCCCAGCCGGCGGCAGCTCGCCTTTCCAGCCCTGGCATTTGCCTGAGAAGCCCCGCCGTGCTCTCCAGGAGGCTCTGGGGCTCTGTTGAGAATCATGCTCGGGAGGCAGCTCGTCTCTTGGCACCTGCTGGCTTTGCTTTTCCTCCCATTTTGCCTCTGTCAAGATGAATACATGGAGGTGAGCGGAAGAGCTAATAAAGTAGTGGCGAGAATAGTGCAAAGCCACCAGCAGACTGGCCGTAGCGGCTCCAGGAGGGAGAAAGTGAGAGAGCGGAGCCATCCTAAAACTGGGACTGTGGATAATAACACTTCTACAGACCTAAAATCCCTGAGACCAGATGAGCTACCGCACCCCGAGGTAGATGACCTAGCCCAGATCACCCCATTCTGGGGCCAGGTACTCGGAATTCTCTTCTAAGGATTACTGTGAAAGCTTAACGAGTTTTGTTGTTCTTTTTCAGCTGCGATTCTTAGGATCAATGCTTTCGAGAAGTTTGCTATGCTGCTTGTGGGGGTCTTTCTGGGTTGCTCTGGGGTCCTGGGAGGGGGACGACTGCCGATCTCTGTTAGGAAATCAGCAGAGGATGTGGGGGACAGGGTGTCCCCCGGGTCAAGGAGAACAGAGCAGCCAGCTCCCTGCTGTGCTATGACTTGATTTCTTTCTTGCTCTCTTGGTGTGAAAAGTGCTGAGCACACAGATAAGACGGATTGCTGGAGACAATCATTTGCAGGTCCTAAGAGAGTTGGATTTTCTTAATCCTTCCCAGCAGGGAGAAGCTGCCCTTTGAGTTTTTCACTTTGATGTGTTAGTTGACTGTGACATTTCATGCCAGCCTTGTTTATTTGATTTATAGTCGTCTAGGTTGCTCAGCCTCTATGTTCAGCCTGTGAACCATAGAGTTAGAACAAACAAGACTGCATGTGTATTAAAAGCAAAACTTCATTGTGTGATTTAAAGCCTGATAATCACAGAGGACTTGATTTATTTCCCTGGGTGTGAACCCAGCACCCAAGGAAACATCTTTAACTCTTTTTGGGGATTTTTGGAGTGAGGTCAGGTTTCAGTGTAGTGAATTGCAAATTGGTGAAATTCAATTTCATTTAAAACATTAAGAACAGACAAAACGGATTTTGACTTACCTTCTCAGCATCTGGCAGGCTGAAATCAGAGGAAGGGGGCAAAAAGAGTTACTTTGAATTACAAGAGCTTTGAAGGAAGAGGTTTTACAACAAGAATTCACTGTGTCTTTGCATTCAATAGGCCCTGGAAAGGTTCATGCAGGTGAAATCCAAGCCCGGCCTCTCACAGACTGAAAAGTTTGGGTTGAAACTGGTGATAGGATCAAACGGAAACCCCACACATGATCAGCTAGAGATCTGGGGCTGAGCTGGAATTTCTAACTCAGCTGCACAGTGCGGTCGCCCAGACTGTTCTGTCAGACCGTGTCAAGAAAAAATTATCTCTTGGGGCGCCTGGGTGCCTCAGTGGGTTCAGCATCTGCCTTGGACGCAGGTCATGATCTCAGCGGGGAGCCTGCTTCTCCCTCTCCCTCTACCCCTCCCCCTGCTTGTGCTCTCCCCGCCCCCACCGTCAAATAAATAAATAAAATCTTTTTTAAAAAAATAAAAAATTGTTTCTTTAAGGAGCCACAAAAGAAATGATAACCCCCAAATACTTATTTTTCAAAGCCCACTTTTAGATATTGTCCTTTCATCTGACAATCTTTTTATTTTTTTCTTAAGATTTATTTATTTATTTTAGAAAGAGATAAAGAGAGTGCGCAGGGTGGGGGCAGGGGCAGAAGGAGAGGGAGTCTTGAGTAGACTCTGGGGCTAAGCATGGAGAGGAACGTGGGGCTCAAACTCACAACCCCAAGATCAAGAGTCACACGCTCTACTGACTGAGCCAGCCAGGCGCCCCTCATCTGATAATCTTTGGCTGGAGGGTGACTCATGGTCCTCTGTATTTCCTTGTGGTGAAGATATTTTCATTTTCATCCAGGCTTTGACCTGGACTTTCCATTTCAGTGGGTGGGATCTTTGCTGGGCCCTCCCTGGCCTTCGCAGTATGTGCTCCCAGACGCAGCAGAAGGCAGATGTAGGCTGTCGTTTGTTGTTATTTCTTGGCAACCAACACCCAGCAGGCCACTGGAATCCAAATTACATTTCTACTTCGCCCTATCTTTGAGTAGGCAGCCAGCATGCTGGAGTCAGATGAGGGGGGCGGGAAGTCACTTCCTGGCTTTCTTTTGTTGAATTAGCAGTGGGGAGGGGGGTGGGCTTTCAAACCCTCTTGGGCTCAAACCAACCCCCAACAGCAGATCCTGAGGACATTTAGAATCATTGATATTCTGGCGATCCTCAGTATGACTCCTCTGCTAATAGGTATGGAGACTCACTGCATTGAGGATTTTCCTGTGTTCCCCTCCTCTCTTCTTTTAATTCTTCTTTTTCCTCATTCGTTGTTTCACCTATGATTTCCTGTGCTTCTAGTATGTGCCAAGCTTTAGGATGGGGATAAATAAGCCCAAGCCTATCTCCGGACAGTTCTGAAGGGCTCTCATGGGGACAAATGACCAGATCATTGAATACCGTGTGGTAAACAAAGTCTCTGCACAAAAGGCAGTTGGGGAGAAAGTGCCCAAGTGGTGGTGGCCGCTGCATTGGATCCCAGAAGTGAGACAAAAAGAATCATTATCCACGCAAGAAATAAAATCTGAAACTATGTGGGGCAGCAAAGAGATGAGAGAGCCTGGGAGGGATGGGCACAGCTGGAGCCCTTGAGCTGTTCGAGGAAGACACAGGATGATCTCAGTGTCAGCCTAGAAGATTCTGTTGGCCGGTTGAGGAGCTCAGACCTTAGTTTGCCCGCCAAAGTTGTGTTTGTTTGTTCACAACAGGGCAGTGAGGTGGGCTGGTGTGTGTTCTAGAAAGAGCACTCTGGTCATGGGCTTCGTGGTGGGTAGAGTGTGCAGAGACTGGGGGGAGAGCAGACCTGGGCTCTCTTTTCTAGGCAGTTTCTTCCTTTATCAATCCCCTCACCTCCTGGACTCCCTCCTCCCCTTCTGCCCACCCCCCTTCTCCTTCCTCTTCCCTCTTGCTTCGGTTAAAGAAGGAGCTGTGGGCCCTCTTTCTGAGAAGTCACTCGCCAATAGCAGAGCAGAACCTGAGTAGCTGCCCCATGGCCTCCATCCACAAAAGGGCTGGGACTTGTCTCAGAGACCCCTCCCTCCTCCCGTGCTGCTCATTCTCCTTTGGCTTTCACATTTGACCTGATTATGAGAAAAGGGTTGATAAACTTAAGAGGGTATATGTAGTGACTCCCTAGCGTGTAATTGTCCCTTACTTAAGTGATGACTTCTGACTTAACACATCCGGTCTAACTTGTTCTAAGGGTCCCTCAGAAGGCTCACAAGCATTATTCCCTTTGACTGTATTGTGAAGGACCAGGCCAGAGGAACATGTGAATGTTGTCGGGGGGCTCTCAGGACATGACCAACTAGTAGGAACCAGAAGATTCTCCCTGCTGGGGTGGCAGCTCTCTGCTTTCGAAGTGCTCCCAAGTAGCTTGGGCACTCACCCAGAGCAGCCCACTCTCCTGGAGCTAACTTCTCACACTCAGACACCAGACTTTACAAACAGAATCTTTCTAAACCATTATTTGAGGGTTTAGAAAAGACCTTAGTATCTTTGCTCGCTCTTAGAGCTGGCAAGAAATTTCCTGGCCATTTTACCCAGTGCCCTAATTTAGTAGACAAGAAAAATGATGCGGGGCGGGGCGGGGGGAGGGGGGAGTGACATCACTAAAGCCACACAGAACTGAGATAGGAGTTCTGGTTCCAGGACAGTCATGTTCCTAAAATTCTTAGCATCCCAGGAACTCAGTTCTGTTTTCAAATGGCTCCCGCTTCAGAATTTTCCCTCCTTCTCCCCCAAAGCCCATTATTGGCAGAGACTTGGATTTCTTGGAACTTAAAAAAAAATTGTATTTCACATTAGCAAAATCATACCAGGAAATTATGAAATACTTCTCAGATTGCGTCCTTGGATTAGAAGGTGGGGTGGTGCTGTGGCATCTGACTTTCCAAGTGTCTGAAGTTGCTTGTCCCAGACCACTTGCTTTAGCTGATTTTCTTTTCCTCCACCAGTTTTACCAAAGGTTTTTGCAGACTCCCGTATCTGTCCAGTGTGGGGTCTGGTGGGCAGAAGACTAGACAGGAGTTAGCTCCACATTGTGGCCCCTGATCACTTGAGACTCCGGCTCTGAGGTGTTGCAAGAGAATGCTCAGACTACAGATAGTCTGCATTTTCCCTGAAGAGCATGGTGGAGGCCTTAAAGGAAAAGGAATGAGGGAGTGAGGAAAACGTCCAAGCCCATTTTTGATTAAACAACAACAAAAAATAGTGAAGTCTAAGTGTGCAGAAATGGAAGACTTGACCCACTTTTCTGCTTGGATTTCTAGCGATAGAGAAAACCTGAATTTCAAATTCTTCCTTCCTTTCTCCCTCCCCTCCTATCCTTCCCTCTTTTGCTCCTTCCCTTTCTTTAGAATCCTTTAGAAATAATACGCTGTTTTCAACAGACCATTGAATTATAACTCAAGTTTAGGAAAATTTCCATAAATATTTTATATTACATAATCAAAAGGCAAGTTACCAGTTTAGTGTCACTCTAAATTTTATCAGCGAATCTAGCTCTTGTACTAGATCTGTAGCTCCTTGACAGTAAGCACACATTTTAGAAATTTTTCTTTAAATAAATAAGCAAGTCCGCTCAGTGTCACATTTGAGTACACTTAGTACCCATTAAGTACTCACTGGATATTGGTTCGAACGATGTGATAATCTTTTAAAATTTTGAAGTAAAATATGATACAGGACCTGAGGTTAAATACTGCTTAAGGGGGAGTTAAAGTTGTTTCAAGATGTAGATACTTAATAGTAATTTGCTGGGCTAAAGAATACTTTGTTTCCTCCATGTCCTAAGGCAGTTTAAGTGTGTTGTGACTGAAAGAGTGGCATTTTGACTCAAAATTTCTAAGAACTCTTATCCCAGTATCCTGAATATAGAAATTCTTAATAAGTATCTTGGAAGTTGATCGTTCTTACCATTTGAGGGTCACCTACTCAAAGGAGCGACAGGCGAGGCTCCTGGCAGCTGGGAACGAGAGGACCGCCTGCAAGTCCACCTCTGAAGGGGCTTCCTCCTTGGCCATCACAGTAGCCTCCAGACAGCACTTCCCAGAAACACTGCCCCATCCCCTGCCAACACCACACTCCTTCCAAAGAGCATGCCCTTCTTTTGACCCTCTGGCTTCTTTGTCCTTTTGGTCATCGGCTCTCTTTAGCTAGCATGCCATTCAAGCCCTCACCCCACACCAGCTTTTCTGAAGCTGCCGTAGGTTGTTTGGAGTTAAACTTACCCAAAAGATGAGACCAAGGGACATTCACAAGTCCTAATGACTCCCCAGTACCATTCTCTGAAGCTTCTCTCTGTATCTTTTTTAAAGTCTCCACAAACCGGAGGACCGCCCCCAGACTGCAGCAAGTGTTGCCATGGAGAATACAGCTTCCGAGGCTACCAAGGTCCCCCGGGGCCCCCTGGCCCCCCCGGCATTCCAGGTAGGGATGAGAGACATGCTCTGTTGGTTGACAGTCTAATTGTGCACTGTGCCAAAATCAGAGCCAAGGTGAATCGAAATAATTTGGGTTCACTTGTGTGTGATCCAAAGGGTGTGCATGGAAAATCCAAAAGAGAGTTCTGGGAGAGGACTGGGTTTACAGAGCCACTTAGGTGGAACAATATACCAAAAACTCTATAGTATTTATTATTTATCCAGCTTGCAGAATCCCACAGGTGTTCGTCCGTCATCTTGGGGCACCAGATTCACTGTCGGTGGCAGAGAGGGGGAGGGTCTTCACCAGCATGGAGTACAGAATCATGGGATCTTATTGGACATACTCTTGTTTGGGCGTTTCTGCCACAACACGCTTCGTGTAACACACTCTATCTAACTTTCAGGGAACTTAGGAAGTGAAGGTGGGGAGGAAAGGAGCGCCTGCAGGGCTGCCTATAGCCATCTCCATAGTGCCGTTCACTGGACTACACACCTCACATCTGATTCTGTGTCTAGCTAAGTTTTTCTTCCCTTAGTCTCAGGGTCTGTCCATGTTCAGCTATCTCTTGGTTGACTTTCATGCCTCTCGGGCTCATGGGAACATTTTTGGGCTCCAGCGCCACATGGCGACGTGGGAAACGCTGTCGGGCTCCATTCAGACACCCTACCCTACTGAGCGTGCCCCAGGCGTGGGAGGTTCTGAAAACTGGCTAGTGTCTGGGGTCAGCCAAGGAAAGGGTAGCCCAGATCCTCTCTGTTTTAGAACTCCCAAATCCATCTGAGGGTTAATTGTTTTCCTCTTCCCCGGGTTAATTACTGGGGGTAGGACTTTTTCTCAGGGTTTGACAGAAGTCCACTTGCTCTTCTCTCACTTACCCTCATTGATGTTAACATTGATCAAATGAGTTTTAATCTTTTAAAAAATATTTTATTTTATTTATTTATTTGAGGGAGAGAGAGAGCTAGCAAGAGAGAGAGCGCAGGAGCAGGGGGGAGAGGGAGAAGCAGACTGTCCGCTGATCAGGAAGCCAGACGTAGGGCTTGTTTCCAGGACCCCGAGATCATGACCCGAGCTGAAGGCAGACGCTTAACCGACTGAGCCACCCAGGTTCCCTGAGTTTTGATTTTTTAATGTACTTTTGAGTGGCTTCTCTTATGAAACCAAATTTAAAGTGAGAAAACAACATTCTGTTAGACTTTAAACCGTGATTACTGTCTTGGAGTCTGTGTCATAGAACGTCAAGGGCGGCTCCAGCAGGTGCAGTGACTGGGGGTAGAGAATATTCATCCTCTTAAAATGTTCTGAAGTCTAAACTCTTTTGAGGGTACAGAGCAAGCTGGCCTTGACTAAATGTTTCCCAATCAAAATGGCTTTTTTTTGTTGGCCCATTAACTTGCAAACACAGTCAAAGTTCATTTATCTGGAGAGTTTGCAAGCCTGGTATAATACCTGACCAAAGGTAGCATGCAAAATAAACTGCCAAAGGGTGTGAAATTCAACAAATATAAAATAAAGGGAGAGTTGTAGAAACTGTCTCTTAGTGACAAAGTGAAGAGTTGAAATCATTATCCAAGTCTTACTTTCAAAATTATTGTTACAATTTGTATCAGTGATTTACATCTCCCTTGGTGATAAAAGTGGTGCACGTCCTTTATAGAAAAATTCAAAGAGACAAAAAAGTACATAGCATGACACAAAACTACTCATGTTTCATCCATTCAGAAAAAAAAAACCCACTGGAAATATTTTTACATAATATATAAGTACTGTTTACACATAATATCGCACTGTCTCTATTGATTCATAACTTTTTTATCTAAAAGTATCGTGAACATTATTAAATGTTATTAAATATTTTTCTTTAGCATTCTTTTTTTGTGATGATATAACATTATTTACTGGGATGTGCCATTTTTTTAATTGAGCTCTTCCAGTATTGTTTGTTTCTAATCTCTGCCATTATAAACGATACTGTGATCATCAGTCCTCAAAAGTTTTCATCTACCTCTTGCTTTATAGGAAAAACAGGCTTTGGAGACTTGAGTAGCTAAGCCTGTCTTCAGTGTCCCATGTAAGAGAACCCATTTGATGATGCCTCCTTGGCTGTGTTTGGGACTGTTTCAAATGGTCTTTTGCAATTGAGAGTGAACATTTTCGAAGAAAGGGTCTGGGGCACCTGGGTGGCTCAGATGGTTAAGCATCTGCCTTAGGCTCACGTCATGATCCCAGGGTCCTGGGATTGAGTCCCGCATCGGGCTCCCTGCTCAGCGGGGGGCCCGCTTCTCCCTCTCCCTCTGCTTTTCCCCCTCCCTCTGCTTCTCCCCCTACTCATGTTCTCTCTCTCTCTCTCTCTGTATCTGTGTCTCAAATGAATAAATAAAAAAACTTTAAAAAAAAAGGGTCTGCATTTGTATAACAATAGATGGTCAGTGTGAGTGATGGGGGCTTTCTCCTATGATGCCTTCTGCTTGTGATTTAAGGAAACCATGGGAACAATGGCAATAATGGAGCCACTGGCCACGAAGGGGCCAAAGGTGAGAAAGGAGACAAAGGTGACTTGGGGCCACGAGGCGAAAGAGGGCAGCATGGCCCCAAGGGAGAAAAGGGCTACCCGGGGATTCCGCCAGAACTGCAGGTAAGTCACCTTGGGCAGATCTCCATGGGACTTCTAACTGCCCAGACCCTCAAAGTCCAGGAGGCAGAAGGCCTGAGAGCCTCTTCACGCCCTCGCTGATGGCTACTGGCCTGAGCGCCTCTTCACATCCTCACTGATGGCTGCTGGCTCGAGTGCCTCTTCACGTCCTCACTGATGGCTGCTGGCCCGAGCGCCTCTTCACACCTTCACTGATGGCTACTGGCCTGAGCGCCTCTTCACGTCCTCACTGATGGCTGCTGGCCCAAATACCCGCATGCCCGAGGCTGGATTTGCTCACCCCACTGCAGGGCATTGGCAGACGGCCTGTACTGTTCAAAGAGCATTTTGAAATCATTCCTAAGAAGTTGAAATGCAGCTCCCTTCTTAGACTAAATACACAGAAGCCCCGAGTATCAGCTAATGTCCTATTTTCCAAATTGGAAGAGATGTTAAATAAAAAGGGTTTTGGCAACTCAAATATATAAATGGAATGTGTCTACCTCAAATATTTTATTTATTCATTTTGTTACATTTACCAATTTAAATCATATATATGGATATTAATACATAAGTATTAATCTCTATTAACTCAAGATCTTGTGGCACAGTTTTTATTTAAACTTTTCTCTTGGGGCGCCTGGGTGGCTCAGTCAGTTAAGTGGCTGCCTTTGGCTCAGGTCATGATCCCAGGGTCCTGGGATCCAGCCCCGCATCAGGCTCCCCGCTCGGTGGGGAACCTGCTTCTCCATCTCCCTCTGCCTGCCTCTCTGCCTACTTGTGCTCTCTCTCTGTCAAAAATAAATAAATAAAATCTTTAAAAAATAGTAATAAAATTTTGGGTGCCTGGGTGGCTCAGTTCTGTTAAGCACATGCCTTCGGCTCAGGTCATGATCACAGGGTCCTGGGATCGAGCCCTG